TAATGATGTTGTTGATGATGGTGGCGGTGTTGACCATGGTGGGCAAGGGGATGACGCGCGGAGAGGGGCTTTCAAAGAGGCCAATGTATGTCTTAGAAGGCAGGAGGAGCGCAACAGTTCTCGTTCTACTGCAAGGGGGCACAATGGAGACCGGAGGGGCTCTTCGGGCCACGGCGAACCTCGACCACGACTAGGTTCCCCGACATTGAAGCGGCCAGAAAACCAGGACCTCTCATGAGCCCGAGACGGTTCTGATCTCAACGCCATGACTGCAGGGCATCACGTCGCGTCGCGAATCGCGTCGCGCATCGTGTCGCGCATATCTTCGAGCCCTCGCGCCCCCCCCTGGAGAAGGCCAGCTTTGCGGCCCCCGCCGCTGCGCGCCAGTGGGCGACGGGGAACTCGAGGGGGGGACCCGCTGAGGGGTGGAGACATCGAGCTGGCATCGGCGATGCCTCGCGGACAGATCGGGCCCCCTGTGGGCGACTCATGGGCGATCGGGGGTCGATGCGCTCCCCCGCGGAGCCTACCCCCCACCCTGTCTTGCCCCTGGTGCCCTCCCCAGACCAGAAGGGAACCCGACCCTGGCGACCTCCCCAAATCTCCGACGGTAGGAATTTAAAGGGGCCCCAGGACACACAAATAAATACACACAAATAAAAAGATCCCCCATATTTCCCCATATTTTCTGGGTATTCGTCTTCCCCCCCCATTTCCCATATTTTCGCATATTTTCTGGGGAATCGACGATTCATTGTGTCTGTGTGTTTTTTTCCCTCCTGAAAATTGTTCGATCCCGCCGTGGATTCGCGTCGGCCTGTGGGGCCCGCCCTCGGCCGCGGGGCCGACAGGAACTGGGGCATGGGGCGAGCAACGGCCCCCGGCGGAGGAGTCGGCACCTCCGGGGCTCGGGGGTCGCGCACCGGGAAAACACATCGTCAGTTGTGTGGGTCAATTTGGACACCTCCTCCTCATCCTCCGCCGCCGAGTCGAATCTGTATGAGTCGAGCGAGGGGGGGAGTGCCCCTCAGTTTTGGACACCCGAAATGGGTACCGAAAGAGTGGGTACAATGCCCAACAACAAGTGTTGTCCCAAACCAAACAGCGGCCGCTGTTGGGAAGGCGGCCTCCTGTCTCAAACGTACACAGGCCGCAGCGGCGTGGACAGCGAATCCTGTTCAGAATGAACAGGAACTGCTGTTGGGCATCGTACCCATTCTTTCGGTACCCATTTCGGGCGTCCAGAGAGAGTCTGGAGGAGCAAGGACAGGTCTCAAGAATACGCCGCCGTGGGGAATCGATCAGCGTGTTGGGTTGGCTGGTGCCGAAGAGACACCCGGCCCATCCGAAGTGTCGGTGCTGAGAAGGCAGGGGCCTTCTCAGGAGCCCTCCCTGCCTGGGCCTTCCAAGAAGCCCATCGCCTTCTTACAAGGCCGACCCCAATCGCGCCACCCCCGAACGCACGCTGCCAACTCCATGGGGCACCCGGCAACTCAAGAAGATCGAGACGGCACGCAACTGGCCCTGGTCAAGTGGTGACCTGTGCTGCGCGGCGTCCCGATCGTTGCATGCGATGCGACAGCAGCGTTAAGTCGGGCGTGTCCCCCTACAGGGGGATTTCCGACGAAAAATGAAAAATACTGAAAAATACTCCCAAATGGTCAACAAATATTCAAAAAATAGTCCCCAGACTGTTTTTTCCAAACCCTCCTTGGTTGGGTACTCGTTTTGAATAGAGCACTGCTCGCGCGTCTTCCCTTCTCCTCCTTCCCGTCCCCCTCCTCTCCTCCCTTCTCCAGGGCTGGGATCTGTGAAACTGTCGCCACTTTCGAGGGCTGCTGGTGGGTCCAGCGGAGTGAGGCACCACGGGGACTCTGATTAGACCTCGCCATCTCTGGGGGTGGCTGCGATCTGTGAAACTGTCACCACTTTCGAGGGCTGCTGGTGGGTCCAGCGGAGTGAGGCACCACGCGGACTCAGATTAGACCTCGCCATCTGTGGGGGCTGCGATCTGTGAAACTGTCGCCACTTTCGAGGGCTGCTGGTGGGTCCAGCGGAGTGGGGCACCACGGGGACTCAGATTAGACCTCGCCATCTCTGGGGTTCTGGCTGCGATCTGTGAAACTGTCACCACTCTCGAGGGCTGCTGGTGGGTCCAGCGGAGTGAGGCCCCACGGGGACTCTGATTAGACCTCGCCATCTCTGGGGGTGGCTGCGATCTGTGAAACTGTCGCCACTTTCGAGGGCTGCTGGTGGGTCCAGCGGAGTGAGGCACCACGGGGACTCTGGTGGGTCCAGCGGAGTGAGGCACCACGGGGACTCAGATTAGACCTCGCCATCCCTGGGGGGCTGCGATCTGAAACTGTCGCCACTTTCGAGGGCTGCTGGTGGGACCAGCGGAGTGACCCACGGGGACTCAGATTAGACCTCGCCATCTCTGGGGGGCTGCGATCTGTGAAACTGTCGCCACTTTCGAGGGCTGCTGGACCAGCGGAGTGAGCCCCACGGGGACTCAGATTAGACCTCGCCATCCCTGGGGGGGGGGGGCTGCGATCTGTGAAACTGTCGCCACTTTCGAGGGCTGCTGGTGGGTCCAGCGGAGTGAGGCACCACGGGGACTCAGATTAGACCTCGCCATCTCTGGGGGGCTGCGATCTGTGAAACTGTCGCCACTTTCGAGGGCTGCTGGTGGGTCCAGCGGAGTGAGGCACCACGGGGACTCAGATTAGACCTCGCCATCTCTGGGGGTGGCTGCGATCTGTGAAACTGTCACCACTTTCGAGGGCTGCTGGTGGGTCCAGCGGAGTGAGGCACCACGCGGACTCAGATTAGACCTCGCCATCCTGGGGGGCTGCGATCTGTGAAACTGTCGCCACTTTCGAGGGCTGCTGGTGGGTCCAGCGGAGTGAGGCACCACGGGGATTCAGATTAGACCTCGCCATCTGTGGGGGCTGCGATCTGTGAAACTGTCGCCACTTTCGAGGACTGCTGGTGGGTCCAGCGGAGTGAGGCACCACGGGGACGGGGACTCCGATTAGACCTCGCCATCCCTGGGGGGGCTGCGATCTGTGAAACTGTCGCCACTTTCGAGGGCTGCTGGTGAGGGCCTCGCCATCCCTGGGGGGCTGCGATCTGTCCACTTTCGAGGGCTGCTGGGTCCCAGCGGAGTGAGGCACCACGGGGACTCAGACCTCGCCATCTCTGGGGGGCTGCGATCTGTGAAACTGTCGCCACTTTCGAGGGCTGCTGCCAGCGGAGTGAGCCCTCAGGGCCATCCCTGGGCTGCGATCTGTGATGTGAAACCGTCGCCACTTTCGAGGGCTGCTGGTGGGACCAGCGGAGTGGGGCCCCACGGGGACTCAGATTAGACCTCGCCATCTCAGGGGGGCTGCGATCTGCGAAACTGTCGCCACTTCCGAGGGCTGCTGGGGTGACCAGCGGAGTGAGCCCCCACGGGGACTCAGATCAGACCTCGCCATCGCTGGGGGGGGGGGCTGCGATTTGCGAAATTGTCGCCAGTTTCGAGGGCTGCTGGTGGGGGCAGCGGAGTGGGGTACTCAGATTCGACCTCGCCATTCCTGGGGGACTGCGACTTGCGAAACCGTCGCCACTTTCGATGGCTGCTGGTGGGCCAGCGGAGTGGGTCCTACGCAGACTCAGGCTCGACTTCGCCATCCCCGAAGGGCTGCGATCTGCGAAACTGTCGCCACTTTCGAGGGCTGCTGGAGGGCCCAGCGGAGTGGGGACATATTCGGATTCAGATTAGACCTCGTCATTCTTGGGGGGGCTGCGATCTGTGAAACTGTCACCACTTTCGAGGGCTGCTGGGTGGCCCAGCGGAGTGACGTCATACGCGAGCCTGGGGCTTTAAGCCTCGTTCTTTCGATCGTCGTCCTGTGAGCCGTGCAATGCGTGCGCATCCGATGTAGTTTGCACAGCAATTCACATCGCCTACAGTATCGTTGTTCCTGCTAATGTTGGCCTACTCCTCTTGCCACTTGATGCACGTGGGTTGGGTACGTCGCAGGGTAATTCCTCATTTCTGCACATCCCCCCTGTAGAGGGACAGGCCCGACTTAACAGTAGCGGCCTGCGTGCCGGAGGGGCGACAACACGGACTCTCTCAATAATTCGTGATTCGCTCCCACGGCCACTTTTAACATAACTGCAGTCTCCTCCTCAGTATGCGGCCTTACATAACTCGCTGAATCACGATGGATTCGACATTCACCATTGATCACCGCGGGAGGTCTGGGTGTACACCGACGCCGACCCTGGCCAGGGCCCAGCTCTGGTGCACACGTCCTCAGGCGTTCGTTCCCAGGTGTTCGGTTGTTCGTTAACGGGGTAGGGTCGACCTGGCTTGGCTCGGGTGTTGGTTAACGGGGGGGGACAAACAACGGACGGGTGGGGGGAAGAAACGCGCGCTTTCCGGGCACCGTTCGGACCCGCGGTGGCAGCGTATGGGCCGGGCAGGGCCCTCTACGGCCACCTTCCTGCAATCCTCGATCCCCTCCGAGAATATTGCCGCCCTTTGCCGCAAGCAATTGGAGGAACAAAGACCTGCATAACCATAAACTGTAAGAACTCCGTGATCTTGCATCGGCGCTGGACCCCCTCTCCCTTGCGCGCGGAGGGCGCCAGGAGCGCGCCAGGGGCGGCACCAGAGGCGCCGCCAGGGGGCTCCAGCTCAAACCAAAAAAATCCGCGCGGAGCTCCGAAAATGTATGCTTATGCCCTTTTTCGTTCCTTCGACGATTGGCCAGAGAGGCGCATGTACACCAGTCCTGGGATGGCCAGCTGGCCAGGATCGGTGTGTACTCTGACGGGCTTGTTTTCCACCACCACCACCACCACCATAAGTTAGAGCGGGAGGGGGTCTTCCTCCTCCTCCTCGTCCTCCTCCTCCTCCTCCTCGTCCTCCACCTCCTTCCCCCCTCCAACTTATGGTGGCGGTGGTGGAAAACAGGCCCATCATACTCGGTTCGCGTCCTCCGAGCCTCTATGGAGTGCAGCACCCGCAGCGACCACCGCCAGCGGAGCTCCTGCCGGCAGGCGCTCGAGGCCACGTTGAAGGCGACCGGCCCGGGCTCGAGGCCCCGCCACCGCATCGCCGCCAGGCAGGAGAGCACCTGCACGACGGAGAGAAAGGGGTCTTACGCACGAGGACGCGGTGACCTTACGCGGTGTCTTACGCACGAGCACGTGGCGACCTTAACGCGGTGGCACAGCGCCCGGAACATGGAGCGCTCACGCGCGAGCTCACGAAGGAAACCTTACGCGCGAAGGGAAGCAGCCCGCCTCCCCCCCGAGGCGACCCCAGGGACCTGCACCGCTACTCCCCCGGCCTCTACTGGAGCGTGTTCGGACCAGGATTTCGAGGCGAGTCCAAGCCGTGGCCACCAGGGCCGGGCCCAGGAGCCCCAGAGCACCCCCCACCCCACCTGTCCAGGTGGCGGTGGAGGTGCGCCATATCTTGCCGCAGGGGTAGCGGTGTCGGTGTCGGTCCCTCTCAGGAGCCCCCGCGATCGCGTCGATGTAGGGCAGACGCAGCCTCCGCGGAGGCCTCTCCAGAGGTACCCCTGGGAGCCCCCGGAGGCCCCGAGAGGTGCAGGGGCCTCCACAGGGATCCAAAAGGATCCATTGTCTTTAGGCCCTGACTGGTCGACCGTCCGACCGAGGAAGAGAGGTGGCCGAGGAAGAAAAGTCGAGTGGCTCCAAAATCGATCCCCGAGCCCCTCCCCAGGTCCATTCTTGCGAGATTGCTGAGCTGCAGTCAGGCCGTGTGCGACGAGGGTCGGGCGGGAGGCCCCAAACAGCTCGAACCTCGATGACCGCACCTCGAACCAAGGGCATCCACGGCGGCAGCGCAACCGAAAGCCGGCCAGACAGGCAGTGAAACCGAAACCGATCAAAACTGACGCGGCGACGATCCCACGACCGAATAGAACCAACGCGAATGAATCTGAGAGCGATGCAGCCGGATCGACCGAACCACGGAGACTCTCGCGAACCTCGAGTCTTTCATAGTGAACCTGGCTTCACTGCGCACATCGAACTGAAGTCGGCGATACATCGTAGATGGATCGGCGAGGGGGCCCCGACAACTCGCGGAGTCGCACGCTCCTGGGCGGGGTGCGCTACCGGGGCCCTGGGCGGCTGGGGGTCGATGCATCCCCCCCTGAGCCCATCCCCCCCTCACGTTGCCCCGGAGATTCCTGCATGCAGAGCCTGGCTCTACAGCTCGCCGAGGCCGCGCACGCCCGCGGCGGCGTTTGTAAAGCGTGGCGTCCAGCCGTGGCGACGACGGGCGCCCAGGTACAAAACGCTTCGAACCTCGCTTCTTGAACCTCGAACCAACTGCGTCAGGCGGAGCGCTGGAGACAACTCCGAACGATTGGTTATGTCGAGTTCTGCTCGTCGATGCATGGCTGCATGGCCAGGGGGCCCAAAACGGCTCGAATCTCGACCCTCGAACCCCGTCTGCATGGCGACCAAACTAACAATGAAACCGAATCTGCCTGAAGCAGCCGAACTTCACGAACCCCGATCCCTGGCACCAGCCGATCCGATGTTTTCAATGCGCGACCCTTGCGATGCCGACCCCTTCCCACGGGGCCAAATCTTCGCCCCAAATCCATGTTGGATGTCCACGGGGCCATGGACCCCAGAGGCCGAGATCGAGAAAAAACTCCCCGACAGAAAAATATCATGGAGAAGGACCCAACCATATGCAATTGTGAGAAACGCCGTTGTGAATTTCGCCTTCAAGGGATCTCCTCATAGGGCCTTGAGTGGAACTGCCTGTGGGACCACGAAACGTGGAAAACATGTGAGGGGATGGGTGGGGGGGCGCATGCGAACAATGGCACCGGGACATTGGGTGGAGCTCCCTGTGAGGCCAATCAACCGTGTGAGGGCTCTGCCGACATGTATGGCGGGGACGCATGCGGGCGGCACCATTTGGGCATTCGGTGAAACTCCCTATGGGGCAAAGAAACGTGTGAGGGGTGCGCCGAAACGGGTGGCAGGGACGCACGCGGGCGGCACCATTTGGGCCTTGGGTGGAGCTCCCACTGAGGCCACGACACGTGTGAGGGGTGTGCCGGAATGGGTGGCGGGGACGCATGCGGAGGGTGCCGCTCAAACCTTCGGTGAAGCTCCTTGTGGGGCCACAAAACAAGCGAGGAGTGTGCCAGAATGGGTGGCGGGGACGCACGCGGACGGTACCAGGTGGGGCCTGGGTGGAGCGTCCAATGGGGCCACGACACGTGTGAAGGGTGTGCCGACATGAGTTGCGGGGACGCATGCGAACGGCGCCATTGGCGCCTTGGGTAGAGCTGCCTGTGGGACCACGAAACGTGCGAGGGGCGTGCCGAAATGACTGGCGGGTACGCATGCGGGCGGCACCATTCGGTTCTTTGGTAGAGCCCCCTATGGTGCCACGAAGCGTATGAAGGGTGTACCGAAAATGAATGGCGGGGACGCGTGCGAACGGCAGCATTGTGGAATGAACGAGGGGTGTGCCAAAATTTGTGGCGGGGACGCATGCGGACGGCACCATTTGAGCCAAGTGTGGAGTTCCCTACGGGGCCACGAAACGTGTGTGAGAGGGGTGCCAGAATGGGTGGCGGAGACGCATGCGGGCAGCACCATTTGAGCATTCGGTGAAGCTCCTTATGCGACAACGACAGGTGCGAGGGGTGTGCCGAAACGTGGGGCGAGGACGCATGCGGGCGGCAAAATGCGGGGTCTTGGGTTGCGCTCTCTATGAGTCCGCGAAGCGTGTGAAGGATAGCCGAAATGGGCAGCGGGGACGCATGCGGACGGCACCATGTGAGCCATGGCTGCAACTCCCTATGGGGCAAAGAAACGTATGAGGGGTGTGCCGACATGCGTGGCGGGGACGCACGCGGGCGGCACCATGTGGCCTGTGATGGGTGTGCCGACATGGATGGCGAGAACGCATGCGGGCGGCACCAATAGGGCCTTGGCTGCACCTCCCTATGGGGCCACGAAACGTGTGAGGGGTGTGCCGGAATGGGTGGTGGGGACGCATGCGGGCGGCACCATTTGGGTCTTGGGTGAAGCTGCCTGTGGGGCCACGAAACGTGTGAGGAGTGCGCCGACATGGCTGGCGGGGACGCATGCGGACGGCCCCTTTTGTGCGTTCGGTGAAACTCTTTATGGGGAAAGGAAACGTGTGAGGAGTGTGCCGGGATGGGTGGCGGGGACGCATGCGGGCGGAACCAGTTGGGTCTTGGGTGGAGCTGCCTGTGGGGCCACGAAACGTGTGAGGGGTGCGTCGAAATGGTAGACTAATAGGGAGAGCAAAGGCACGCATGGGAGGACGGAGAAGCTTGAGGAGGAGGAGGAGGAGGAGGAGACGCGGGGTGCTATCTCTTCAAAACGAGGACCCAACAACTAAGGATGCTTGGGAACAAAACGCATCGTCGGAGATCTGGGATTCACCAAACCTTCGACGTCATCATATGTTTCGCGCCGCCGGCCCCAACAAGTCCAGATCCCTTCCCAAAGACAATGTTTCATCATGCGCCACTTCTTGACGGTCCCCGAAGCCGGGTGAGGGCCCCAGAAGCCGAAAACTGCAACAAGACAAAAACATCAAACCTGATTGCTTCACGACCTGAGGGGGTCTGGGAACCTGGCTCCACTGCCCACTGCGCTCGCAGGCGCTGGCGGCGGCATGGCACAGCACAGCGTCGATCCGCAACCCCTGGCAGCCCGCGTCCCGCAGCAGCTGCAGGCCGCGCGGCCAGAGCGGCAACCGAGCCAGGGACTCCCTCCTCTGAAGGGCGGAGGGGGACAGAGGAGGAAGGAGGACCAGAAAACACGAGCAGGATCGAAGGAGCAAAACTCCTTAGAGGTCCGCGCAGATTTCTTGGATCGGCGACGGGTTCCCCAGGCGGCGCCTCCAGCGCCTCCCCTGGCACGTTCCGCGCGCCATGGCGGGGGATATAGCGCCGATCCAAGAAATCTGCATGGGCATCCGAAAATTCATATTTACTTCGAAGCGCTGTTTGCACCTACGGGTGCTTACTTATCCCCGAAAGAACTGGGCATGTCTCTCGATTTGGCGGCTATGTTGCCGCCATCGCCGCCCCGTCGCCGCCACAAAGGTTGCACCACGTATATTGCACAACGTAGATTGCCTCACGGAAATTGCACGACATATATTGCACCACTGCAACTGACAACGTAATGTGCACCCCATCGTGCACCAGTTATTGCACACTATATATTGCACATGATACATTACAGAACTCAGGTTGCAAAACGTTGTCAGCAAACCAATTGTTTTGGTCGCAGTGGAGACATAAAATTTACCCCCCCCCCGAATCCTAGTGTATCGGTCACCCCTAGGGTTGCGCAATTTAGTCAACATTCACCCCCATCGGGCATTCGGAATATGAATATAAAAAACACCCCGGCTAAAACGCCCCCCCCCTGCATCGCCCCCTTCAACAACAAATCTGCGCACACGCGGGGTTGTCGAGAAATCTCAAGTTGCACGAGCCCCTCCACATAATAGAACGAAGATCAAATGCGCGCGCTGTCGCGCGAGCATACAGAAACCGTCGCCTTCCACAAAACAACACTGTGGTGTGAGGAATTCCGAATCGAGTGCCCTGAGATCAGGAGAAAAGCACAGAAAGTTTGGCAACGTGGTTCGTCAAAACAAATTTTGCGCGCGTTTGTGTCATTTCTGCTGGACGCCGAGAGACTGAAGGGGCCTCCCGCGCGCGCATGCCGAAATCATTCGGACGCCCTTGCGCGCGTGCTGGTGGGGGGCGCGATCCGTGTCAGATAATACCATGCGTGCAACTCGCGTGCGTCGGCCGCGCGCGCCTGTCGAAACCCTTCCAACCTTGACATCAACGACGCGTAGACACCATCATCGCCATCGGCGTGCTCGTCATCGACGCAGTGATTGGCACGAACGTCGTCATCGTCATCGTCGCCACCAGCACCGCTGCTATTATCATCGTGTCTGCCGCTGCCGACGTCGTTATGGAGCCGCGCCCGCCCGGGTCACCAGCCGCACGGCAGTGCCCGCGCGTCACCGCGGCCTGCGAGACGCGCTGGGAACTTCCAGCAGCCGCCACCGCGGCCGCGTCGGTCGCGACAGACTGTCTGACTGGTTGCTAGCGCTAGCGCGGCAGCAGCGATGCGCCAGCCAGCGCCCAGCAGTCATTGCAATAGCCGCCGCATGGGTTATGAAAACCAAGTTGCGGGTGGGTGGGTGGGGTGGTTGCGCGAGCTGTGGAACTGACAACTTCAAGTTCGGCGAAGGGAATGGCACTACGTAGGGTGCACCGCATGGGCTGCTCCACGCAGATTGCACCACGTAGATTGCACAACTTCGGCCCTCGCTTTTCAAACAAAAAATCGGCCAGTCCCCCCCCGATGCCGAAGTGATCCATCCCCCCCCGGGGATGTGCACTCTACGTACAAGTCCGCCCCATCGATCGTCGGCTATGAACTCACAGAGTCCTGGCCGAACCAGACCACCCCCCATCTTTGCAAAATATAACATTGCGCGCGCACGCAACAATCGAAAAACGCGAATTCGCCCACCAAAAAAAATCCCTTGACTCACAACGGGCGAAAGACATACGCGCGAATCGTCGCGCGCCAACGATGAAGTACCGTTCAAAAAAAGATTGGCTTCGCACGGTATTTACAACCGGACGCCCCGAAAACATATTACCCACATGATTTCCAGCATGATATATACACATACAGATCTGTACACATATATATATATAATAATAATAAAAATAATAATAATAATAATGATAATAATAATAATAAAGTACGTGCAACAAAAACGCTGCATTGCAAATCTTACGGGAGCAAAGCGGTTGTTTGGTTTGGTAAAACATTTGTTTCATGGCATGCGACCAAAAGGGCCTCTCGCGCGCGCATGTCCGAAATGATTCGAACGCCCTTGCGCGCATGGGGCGGGCGGGAGGGCGCGATCCGTGCCAAAGAATACGACGTGGGACACTCGCGCGCGCGCGTCGGCCGGGCGCGCATGCCGAAATCGACCCTCGTCTCCCATCAAAGGGACCGGCATCGGCGCCGTCATTGGCACGAACGTCGTCATCGTCATCGTCGCCACCAGCACCGCTACTGTCATCCTTAGCGCGGCCGCAGTGCGCCAGCTCAGCGCCCAGCACTCATCGCAATCGCCCTCGCAATGGCTCTGTAAAACAAGTTGCGGGTGGGCGGGTGGGATGATTGCGCGAGCAACGGGATTTACAACTTCAGGCTCGAAGGGCGACTTGCACCACATTGATTGACCCACCTAGATCGCACCACATGTATTGCACCACGTGTATTGCCCAACCTCGATTGCACGATATAAGTGGCACAACATGTATTCTCTTCCTGACAGAATTATAGAACCACCCCACCGCCCAGGACTTAACCGCCGTCCTTTTCGCATTGCAACTTGCATACGAGTCTGCCCCATCGTCCGTCCGAAATAGAAATTCCACCAGCCTAACCAGGCCAATAGTACCCCCCTCCTTGGATGAAAAATACGATGCGTGCACACTCGTTCATCGAGCACCATAAAGTTTCAAGAACCCCCTGCACAAAAGTGGAAGAATGAGAACACACGCGCGCGCGTCGTCGCGCACGCAAGCCGAACTCTTCAGAAATCTGGGTTCGTAAGAAATTCGAAATCGAGTGCCCCGAAAACGTACAACAAATTATGGTTTCGCAACACGTGTTTCAAAACAGCAAAATACGTTCGCATGCTTGATTCGTCATTGCTTTTGCAACAAATGTTTATGAATGCATTTAATGTATAGTAACATCAGATATGCTTCAACATGTTCAGGTGTGGCTACGCATGTTTAGTCCAGAAACCGTATATGTGCATTTTATATCTATAACAAGCAGACGTGCGCTACCAAACGGTACGCTCTCGCACGCATGTCGAAGTCGTTCGAACGATCCTGCGCGCGCTGTTGCCCAAATCCCTTGCAAAACACGGGACGCAATGCACACGAGTACGTCGTCGCGCGCGCAAGCCGAAATCCGGTTCAAAACCGATCGCCCTGAAAACATATGAAACCAGACGGTGTCGCAACATCAATGTCCAAAACAGCCTGCGCTCGCGCTCCTGCGAATTTTTTAGGAAACCATTGGTTCGTTGCGTCCGGCAATTTCAGTACACTCGGTAATACGGGCATCTCGCGCCGCATCTTGAAATCATTCGAAAACCCTTGCGCGCGTGTAGATGATGGGGGGGCGCGATCCGTGTCAAATAGAACACCATGCGGGCCACTCTCGCGCGTCGGCCGCGCGGATGCCGAACACCTTCCACAACCCTTCACCACCGACGCGAGGACGCATTATCGCCGGCGGCCTGATCAACGTCGTCGCCGCCATTGGCCGTGCCGTCATCGTTGTCATCACCGCCACCAGCATCGCTACTATCACCATCGTGTCGTGTCTGCCGATGTCGGCGTTGCCATGATACCGCGCCCACCCAAGTCGCCGACTCGAATGGAGCGCCCGCTGGGGACTGCCTAGCGGTCAGCGCCACTTCGGCCGCGCCGGTCGCGCCAAACTGGCTGGCCGCTGCGCGCGCGAGCATGCTGGGGAAAGCGCGGCCGCAGAGATGCGCCATCCAGCACCAAGCAGCCAGCACAAGCGCCAACGCAAGGATGTCAAAAACCAAGTTGCGGGTGGGTGGGTGGGATGATTGCGCGAGCAGTCGATTTAACAACTCACTGCAAGCATTTGTGAATTGCACCACATAGACTGCTTGTCATATATAGACAATCTAAATTGCACCACAAGGATGGCACCACCCAGCTTGCACCACACATGAAGCTAAACGACACTGGATAGGGTCCACGGTGGCGAACACATCTACATATATGCACGTGCATAAAACTATACAGATACAGCTACACATCTATAAACGTGCACCTGCAAGTACGTATACATATACCCAAACGTATGCACGAACATTAAACATATACATATATATGTATACATATACATACACACGTACACATATGCATATACATATACGCATATACGTATGCATGCATGTATGCCCATATGCGTTCACACCTACATTCACCTACGCATGCACAAAAAACGTTGACGTGCATCTATACATATGCAATTATGTACGCATACACATATACATATATACGTACACATACATCGTAATCATAAACATATACATGTACGTATCTATGAACCCATATATACGTACAAATGTGTATAGACTTGCACATATACATATGGATGTGGGACATGGACACGCACATGAAAACATATGCGAATACATATACACACTCACATTCAGAAGCATAACTAAACACAGTGAAAACATGCATAAACCTATACAAACACCTATACTTGCATACATATACTTACATATAACAGACATACAAACGTATGTATTAAACAAAAGTTTGCATTGTGTTGCAAAGTTTCGTGCTGCGCTGGCGCAGCATTGCGATTCATTGCCTGGCATTGCGCTGCATGGCGGCACATTGCTACGAAAAGCTAAACATTGCATTTCTCTCCATTGCGTTGCATTGCACCGCATTGCTTAGTAGTGCGTGCGCACCATTGCGTTGCATTACTTTGCATTGCGCTGCATTGCTTTGCTTTCCATTGCTTTGCATCGCTTCGAAGTTGTGTACATTGTTTTTGTTATCTCGCGTTGCTTTGCATTGCGCTGAAACGTGTTGCAGGGCTTTGTATTTCCACATTGACTCCACCACCTAGATTGCACCGTATAGACTGCAAGAACTCATTGTTTAGGGGACAGCGTTGGCTAGCATTCAATATTTCTTCATCGAAAGGAAGGACAAGAAGAACCGAAGAACCGGGCCCCCTCGCGTGGTGAACCAATCATATGACGCAATTGTTCGTCCCCTGGGGGCCCTCGCTGGGCCCCGGGACCGTAACAAAAAACTGCCCGGATGCCCGGGATGAGAAACCAGTCCTCGAGAAGGGGTCCAGGACTCTGGGAGTGCCCGTCGTGTAAAGAAACATGACGTCGAAGTGTGTGGGGGGGGAGGGGGAGCAAGGATTCTAAGCGAGGTGTCTGAATTCGGCCGCCACGCGGCGCAGCTGCCACCGACCACTCCATCGAGAGATGACGCCAACGGTGGCACAGGCAGTCTGCATGCACATCGTCGGTAACCAGCTTGGCACACGATGATGAGCACACACACACACACACATCGCACGAACATCGCCAGTCGCACGATGACGAGCACACACGTCGCGTGTAGTCAGTAGCCCATTTGTACGCAAATCGTTCCGTTGAAGAGCCCGACAGGAGAAAAAAAAACATCGACGCGTTTTTGTCGTCTGGACCGACTGTCTCGATTGCGGTTTCACTTGATCGGGGCCCCGCGACTCCGAGCCCAGCGCGTGCTGAAGCATGCGCGAGGCCCCATGCGCTCGTCTGTCTCGTCGCGACGCTGCACGCGTCAAATCGGCGCCAGACCCGCGCCGGATCCACGAACCCACGCCGAATGCGCATCGAGCCCGTGGCCCGTGTCGAACACCCCCCGGACACACGCCAGACACCAGACAGGGACCAACGTCTTCAGGGCAGGCGGCGCCCCCCGAAGATGCAGCACAATCCATGGCGGCCCCACAAGGAAAACCCTCCCGGGGCGCGCGGGGTGGACGTGCGACGCGTCGAAAGGTCCGGCGCGCCGCAGGAGGGCGGAGAAGACGCCGACGCCGCTGCAGGCATCGCCAGGCGGGCACAGGCAATCTGCCAAGATGGTCTGGGGAGGACCAAGACGAGGACAATGACAAAATGACGAGGAAGGCAGCTTTTCGTCGTTCCATCTGGGCTCCAGACGAGGGAGGAGGCCGACGAGGGGGTGACAGGCAGGAAGAGGACGACGAGGACGACACAGAGGAAGAGGAGAGATAGGCGAAGGACGAAGAAGGAGGAGAGGAAGAGGGGAGGACGGAAAAAAAGAGAAGAAGACGAAGAAGAACACGAGAAGGAATGACGCGAGTGAAAGAGGAGACGCAGACGCAGATGCAGACGCAGACGCAGACGCGCGTGCCGGCAGGCCCCTTAAGGGCGGCGCGGGCGGGCCGGAGCCCAGTCACAGGTATGTGAAGTGCAACGGGTCGCCTTCGAGGTCTGCCCACAATTTGGAAGTTGTAGCACTCTGTGTGTTTCCAACCGAAGCCTTCTGTAAAACTTCTGTGATGTCGGCACTCCACCGTTTTCGCTGTCCGCCGTGTCGGCGTCGTGCTGCCCGGGGGTCATGGAAATCATGTTCCGATGCCGCCGCCAGCCGGGCCCAACTGTGATGCGGTTGTGTAGCAACTCGCCCAACCCATCTCCATTTATGTTTGTGAAATATTGTAACCCATTCCTCCACATGTGCGCGCGTCGCAAGGTCTGAGGCGGCGTGGGTAGCCCTGCGAATGAATTGTCCCAGGATTCAAAGTCAGATTCGTCGTCGACGTCGTCTAGGTGCTGTCTGACGCTGGACTTGCTGTGGTTAGTTGTGCTGTCATCATGCTGTTCATTGTCGGGGTTGGTTATGTTTTCGTCGGTGCTGGTTTGGGGTCGTCTCTGTCGGCACCTCGAAATATTGACAATGAGTCGTAACATGCGTCGTTGGGTGCGTCGGAGTGTCAAGAGCACGTCTTTGGTCAGAGTCCGCGTTTGCGCAACCATACGGGACCGTTGGCGTCACCGTCCCGCTCAAGATCCTGAGTCTGACAAGGTATTTGGTGTTTCCCTCGGCGCTGAGGATTTCGACATTGTCGTCGTCGATGTCCACGTGTGTAATGCATCGCTCCTGTCGCCTGCTAACATATGTGAGGATGTTCGTTTTGGCGGGGTGCAATGCAAGTCTTACCTTCGCAGCTTCGTGTGTGAGGTCTCGCATGATACACTTGCGTTGTCGTGGACTGGGTACTAGGAGGAGTACGTCGTCAGCAAACCTCAGGTTGGTCAGGCGCGTCGTCTGCGCACTTCCCAATTGTATGCCGAAGCCCTTTCGTGTCCAAGTTGGTTGGATGTTCCAGAATGTGTGATCGAGTAGCGCGCTGAAACAATATGACCTGAGTGGGTTCCCTTGCTTGACGCCGCGCTCGATGTTGAATTGTCTTCCGGCGTCGGTCTTAACCGTGGCCTCTTGGTCGTCGTAGAAATTCTGCAGCAAGGTGATGTAGGGTTCTGGCACATCTTGTTTCCTCAGGGCTTCCCACACACATGAATGGTCGACGCAATCGAAAGCCTTCTTGAAATCGATAGCAGCTGTCAAGAGTGGGAGCTGCCATTCGTAGGACTGCTCGTAAAGTAAAGTTGCTGTGGCGAGGTGGTCCTCTGTGCTCAGGCCTTGGCGGAAGCCAGCTTGGTCAGGTGATTATTGTGCGTCGAAAAATGCGTCAAGTCGGTTGCAAAGTAGTCGGGGCATGAGTTTGTATAGTAATGGCATGATGGCAATTGGTCTGTAGTTGTTTCGTAGTTGTGGGCCTCCGGACGTATAGATTACGCTGATGGTGGTGTCTCCACTGTTCCGGCGGTGTCTGCTCAGGTGCTGCAGCGTTGTTGAAGAGCACCCGCAAATGCTTCTCGATTTTGTCCTCCCCTGCTTTCAGCAGCTCCGCGTTGAGCCCAGCCGTGTCCTTGCACTTGCCGTTTTTGAGGTGCTTCACTGCTTGGTGCAACTCCTCGTGGGTGAAGGGTGGAATGCTCTGTCGAAGTCGCCGAGCTGTTTTTCTCTTGGGCGTCACGGGAGCAGTTGTGCTTTCAGGGCGCCGATACAACTCCTCATACAAGTCCGCGAAAACGTCTACTATCCCCCGTCGGTCCGTCTCGTTGGAGCCCTTTGCTGTTGTCATGACCCGTATGAGGTCCTTCTTCTTGCTGGACTTGATACCAGAGATCCTGTTCAGGCCGCGGAAACTAACGATGATGTCGTTCAGGATTGCCTGCCGTTGAGCCCTTTTGATGTCCCAGTGTGAACGTAGAATACGTTTGCTAAGAGCTGTTCTGGTGGCTGTGTCGGTGTGCGGTGTGCTTCTGCGTTGCGTAATGAGGAGGAGGAGAGAGGAGGAAGAGGAGGAGCAGGAGGAGCAGGTAGAGGCGGAGGCGGAGGCGGAGGAGGAGGAAGAGGGGAGGAGGAAGAGGGGAGGAGGGGACAAAGAAGAAAGAACCGAATAAACCCAAAATGCATCAACGATGCTGCAAAACAACCTCCCGTTCCAAGTCCCCTGGAGGAGGGGGAGCAGGGAGGCGCAGGAGGAGGAGGAGGAGGAGGAGGAGGAGGAGGGGATGGAGGAGAAAGGCAGGAGAAAAAGGCAGGAGAACAGGGAAGGTGGAGAAAGGCAGGAAGAGGAGGAAGAGGGGGAGGAGGAGCAGGGGACGAAGGAGACGACAGGGCGACCTGGCCAACTTCGCGGCCTTCTCGCAGGCGCTCGCAACGGCACCGTACGTGATGACGTCTGGCAGCAAGCTGTGGTCGACGGATGCCAGCAGCAGCCCGAGCGCGCGACGCCACTCCTTTCCAACCATTCTCCTCCTGCCCCTAATCCTCCTCCTCGTATCTTCCCTCCTCCTCGTATCTTCCCTCCTCGTAGCTTCCCTCCTCCTCCTCCTTCGTATCTTCCTGTCCAACCATTCTCCTCCTCCTCCTCAACCTTCCCTCCTCGTATCTTCTCTTCGTGCCTCGTGGTCCGCCTGCTCCTCGCCCTCCTCCTCCTCCTCCTCCTCCTGGTCCTCCTCCCCCTCCTCCTCGTCACTCCCTCCTCCTACTCCTGGGCCTCTCATCCCTCCTCCTCCTCCTTCTCCTGCTCCTCCTCCTCCTTCTCCTCCTCCTCCTCCTCCTCCACTCCCTCCCTTCCTGTTTCATTATACATAACTTCTCCCTGTCGCACACCGAGGCAAGTGTTTCATGCGCGCTGGGCATTTCGCCTGAGCCTTCCTCACCATGTATGGCCCTGAAGCTCAAAACATGGCGACAGCTTCACAGATGGAGGGCGGGTGGTTTTCAAAATGTGGCTCTCGCCTCAGCGTGGCGCACATTCGTTTTCAACAGTCCTAAAGGTTTCACGGGTTGAGGGCGGGTCGTTTTCAACATGTGGCTCTGGTCGTAGCGCTACGCACACTCGTCTTAAACATTTGGAAGAGTCTCACGAATTCAGGGTGGTGGTTTTCAAAATGTAGCTCTCGCCGTAGCGCCGCGCATATTCGTTTTTAAAAAACTTGCAAGAGTTTCACGGATTGAGGGCGAGTGGTTTTCAACATTTGGCTATCGCTTCAGCGCCGCGCACATTCGTTTTAAACATGTGCAAGAGACCGAGAGCGGGTCGTTTTCAAAACTGGGCTCTCGCTTTACCGCCGCGCTTGTTCGTTTACGCAATCTTCAAAAGTTTCACGGGCTCCCATCATCAACGTACCAGAAAAGGTGTTTTGGAAGGATTCAGGGTTATGCGGGTGCAACAGTTACGTTAATTCTCTGTGCTGAAGTCCTAGGAATGGCATTCTGGCACGAGTCAGGATCGTCAAGACGCAACACTCAGGTTGATCCGCGGCGTTGGATTCTGGAGAACAATGTTGTAGCATGCCTCAGGATCTTCAAACGGGTGTCTTTCAACGAGGCAGTTCCATCAATGGAAATGAACCGTTGTAGGGGCCTATGAAGAGGGAGCTTGGAGGGAGGGTTTACTCCAACATCGTTGATGACTCTTGGGTTTACACTGGTCCTCCTCTTGTCCTCCTCCACCCCTTTCCCCTCAAGTCCCTCCTCCTGCTCCTCCACCTCCTCCTCCGCATCCTCCTCCTCCTCCTCCTGCTTATCATCCTGTTTTTGAACCTTCTCCTCCAGCGCCAACGGGCGCGCCACCGCCGCCGCCGCCGCCGATGACGACGACGACGACGACGACGACGACGACGACGACGAAAACGACGACGACGACGACGACGACGACGACGAAGGCGGCGGCGGCGACGACAACGACGACGACCACGATCCCTGAGCCTAGAGGTCCCCAGGGGACTCCCAAGGAGCTCAACACACCGCCATGAGCGACCAGATATCTCGATTCGGCTCCCGTCTACTATGGCGACGACGGCAACGATCACGCAATGTAAACGACGACGGCGGGAAGGCGTCGACGGCGTCGACGTCGAAGAACAAATGTGAGCCAGCGTGGATCCCAAACAATAGGCTGCTGCATGACCGATTACCTGGCGACGGCGACGACGACGGCGACGACGAACCTGGCGACGGTGGCGGGAACGTCGACGTTGATCAACATGCCGATGATGGGCACGGAAAAACGAGTACGTACGATGCCCAGCAGCGAACGTCGCCCAAAACCCAACACTGGCTGATGTTGAAAAGGCAACTGACTCCTTCAGATGGAGACCGCACGCGGCGTCGCCGACAGCAAAACCTGTTCAACATGAAAACTGCTGTCGGACGAAGACGTCGTAGAGGACGACGACGACGTCGAATACCAAATGTCAGCAGCTCGGCTTCTGGGGCTACGGCTCCGCGCGTGGGCGCCCGGGCATCCGTGGGCGCGGACGCCATGCAGGACCGCACGGGGGTGCGGGCACAAGCGGGTGTGCGCGGGCGCATGGAGGCGCCCGGGTGGGCACGTGCGAACGCGCGGGGGGGAGCGCAGCTAGCGGGTGCATGGGCACGGGCGCGCGGAGCCCTGCTCCGCAATCTGGATTGCGGACTACACAAATGGCCGAACCGACCAGAACGGGCAATGTGGTGACCCGGGCCTGGTGTTTGCATCAGTGTTCGAGGCTTGAACATGTATTGGGGGAATACGTATTTCTATCTTCACTCGAGTGTGCCAGCGAAAATCCCAAACAGTGGGCCCCTGGGGGGACGAAGCGGTACCGATACCGTTACTCCCTGGACTTCCCCCGGGGTGTCCTCTGGGCAGAGACTTCGGGGCGAATCCAGCCACGGTGACGCGGACTCTTCACGACGAGCAGCGGTGACGACATCTTCTACTCCTCTGAATCGACGGCGGCGGCGACGTCAATGTTGGCGGCCGCGGTCCGCGTCGAGAGAGCTGGCCACGGCGCCGACTGCCTTGGTGTCCGCCCGCAGGCCGCGGGCGGCGAGCTCGCCGAGGATGGCGAGCGCCTTGCGCCAGTTGGCCCCGCGCCTGCAGGCGGTCACCTCCGCGAGGTGGAGCAGCGGGGCGGCAGGCAGGAGGACGACGAGGACAACAGGGGGTAGGAAAAGGAGGATGGGGAAGCGAAGGACGGAGACGACAGAGAGGAAGAGGACATGGACGAGGAAGTCGCCAGAGCTCGCCAGTAACCAGAGTGCGAGTGAGGGGGAGAAGGAGGAAAACCCGAGGAGGATGCGCGCCGTGGCCAGGTGTCCCGCGCCCTCCTCCTCCTCCTCCTCCTCCTCCTCCTCCTCCTCCTCCTCCTCCTCCTCCTCCTCCTCCTCCTCCTCCTCCGTCGTTTCGCGCGGCGACGGCTGACCAGCCAAGCCCTGGCGACACGCGGGCATCGCAGCACCGCGCCCAGTTGACCGCCTGGGTCTGGTGGCAATTTGCCCCTGGCAGCGTTGCCATCGATGGCTTCCGCTGCGTGGACGATGTCATGATCAGTGACACCCGCGGCAATCCACACCTGCGGGCGGTCGCCGATGCCCCGGGCGCCCCCTGGCCTTCGACTTCGGGACTGTCGCACAGGCGTCGTCCTGTCGGACGCGGAGGTGAAGGACTCCTTGGTCTATGGACTCGCCTGCGTGACTGCCAGGATTTCAATGTTGCGCCGGAGCCTCGGACCCCCCTGAACCTGATGGCGCGGGCAGGGCTTGGCGGGTCAACGCGGCGATTGGACCGGCTGCCCTGGAATGCTCCCATCGGTCATGTCGAGGGCCGTGGCGCAATAGTTCGCACCGCGGGCCAAGCACGCGCCGACGCTGACTCGGTCCGGCGGCCAGACCTGGCAGGCGGCTTCAGCCTCGGCGGCGGGCGCGGAGGATGTTTTGCACCCGCGTCGCGCGGGAGAACACCCCGCGCTGGCCGACGAGCTCCCGCGGCTCTGCGAGGCCCCAGGTTGCCCAAGGGAAAATGACGCCACCCGGCGCAGCGCCATCTGCGCCAACCCATGCGACCCCGGTGACCTGTCGTGGGCCTCACCAATGACACCCTCAGCCCAACGGGGCGCCCCGGGGCCCCGGGAGGCCCTGGACCCTGGAACCATGGAGTCCCCGAGACTCAACCCACGCCGGCAGACCCGTCACAGGGGGCGCAGGCGCGCGCGCGCGCGCGGCGCCCACGCACGGTGCTCACAGGCAGCGAAGCTGCAGCAGGCTTATTCGCAAGTCGAAAATGGACAGTGGCAGCAGCAGGAAAAGGGGGAAGAGCAGCAGGGATAGGGCCGATATGTGGAGACGTCAACAGAGTGAAGGAGGGCAGCCGCAGTAGCAACGGCAAACACGAGGTGGAAACCAGCTAGGGTCCGACCCTCCCTTCCGACATACCTCCACCCGTGCCCTTCGGCTCCCCCGTTCCCGTGCCTCCCCCTCCCCCCTTCCCTGTGCCCGTTTCTGCGCGCGCTTTTCCCCTCCATCGATCTCCTTCCCCTTTTTCCTGGACAGATGTGAGCAGAATCTCGATGAACGGAATCGAAAAAACGACGACGACGACGACGACGACGACGACGACGACGACGACGACGACGACGGCGACGACGACGACGACGACGGCGACGACGACGACGACGACGACGACGACGACGACGACGACGACGACGACGACGACGGCGGCGGCGGCGGCGGCAGCGGCGGCCCTCCCGAGCCCTCTCCACGTTGCCCCCCCCTCGAGAAAGGAAAACGCTGTGAGGCCCCCCTCTCTCGCAGACAGCGAACACATCATCTGGAGCAGTGATCCGCTTCTCGTAATATGACTACCTACCAGACCCCCCCAACCCAACCCGAAGACCCGAATCTGACCCGAATTTCGGGTTGGGGGGGGTACGGATTCCATGTGTTTTTTCAACGTTCCCCGACCCCCCCCACTGGAAATGGAAGGCAAATTGAGGGCTTCGGGTTCAGTTGGGGTGGTTTGGTGGGTGGTGATTGTAATGACTTGACAAAACACCAAATCCCAATCGAATGGAGGCTCTAGGGCCCGAGGCAGTCGTAGTATGGGCGGGGAATCCGTAGCCCGCCCGGACGCTTCAGGGCGCTCGGGGAAGGGAGGGGAAAACATGAAAAACATGAAAAGCAATGGACACCTTTGTTGGCACATGGGAAAACAAGAAAAACTCAAACAACAACGACAGTCACAAGTTTCGTTGCGTGTTCCTGCGTTTCCCTGTGAAAACACAAGGTTGATACTGTGTTTCATGTGTTTCCCGTGTTCCCCTTCCCCCGTTCTGTTGCGAAGAAAGGCCGTGGGCCGCTCGGAGACCCCAGGGCGCTCGCGGGAGGGTGGAGGAACACACCAAAAACAATTCAACCATGTGTTTTCACAAAGAGAAAACAAGAAAAACCTGAACGACAACGACAGTCACAAATTTCGCTGTGTGCTCCCGCTTTCCCGTGTGAAAACACATGGTTTTAAGTGTTGTTCATGTTTGTTTCCCCTTCGGTTTCCGCTTTAGCTTTCCTGGGCTCAATGCGCCGCCACTGCAGATTCCCCACAGTGGAAGCCCTGTTGAAAGACCGCCACACAAGGATTTCCTATGTACAGGCTGCTACAAAAGGATTCTAAGTGTGAAAGCCACGGCAGACCCCCCACATTTGAAATCCTGGCGCAAGGTCGCCACACAAGGAATGCGTCTGTGCAAAGGCTGTTGCGCAAGAATTTAAAGTGTGGAACGTATGTACCTTAAGCATATCGACGCTCGCAGGTCTTCCTCGCTGTGTCCTATTCTCTTGTGAAAAACACAAGCCTCTAGTGTTGCCCATGGTTTCTCTGGCTTCCTCTTTAGCTGCCCTGGGCCCAAAGTGCCGCCACTGCAGATCCCCCCGCGCTGGAAACAGTTATGTTTTTGTAAATCCGCCACAACATGAATCATGTTGCAAAAAGCTGTTACAAAAAAGGGCTAGAAGTGTGAAGGCCAATGCAGATTCCCCAAACTTAAAATCCTTGTGTCAGGTCGCTGCACACGGAATACGTTTGCTAAGGCTGCTACAGAAGGGTTACACATGTGGGGCGTATGCACCACCAGAATACCGACAGTCACAAGTCTGCCTAGCCGCGTCCTATTTTTCTCTGTGTAAACATGTGTGTGTGTGTGTCTTGTGGTTCCTGTGTTTCATGTTTTCCTCTCCAGCTATCCTGGGATCACGGTGCCGCCACTGCAGATCCTTACATAATGGCAACGCTGTTTCAAGGCCACCACAAAAAAGGGTTCCCTTCGTGAGGGCTGCTACAAAGGGCTTCACAGTGTGAAAGCCACTGCAGATCCGCCTCGCTTGAAATCGTTGCGTAACGTCGGCACAAACGAAGTCCTTTATGTAAAGGCTACTGCACAAGGATTTGAAGTGTGGAGCGCTTGTGCCCAAAAAGTACGGACAGTCACAGGTTCTTCCCGCGTGGGTTCACATGATGTTTCATGGCTGTTCCTGCGATGGTGGTGCTGCGTATGGCACAAATGCAGACGGTCACGACGATGATGTTGATGGTGCGGACGATGCTGGTGATGATGATATGCCCCCAACAATACTTCGAGAGAACTGATCGGGCCGTCGAACTGGCACCGCTGGTCGTCATCGATGGCGCCACATCCGTCCTCGAATACGTTCACGGCAATGAGATGAAAGAAAACCTGCACGACGTATTTCGTTGGGCACGTATCGTGTTCTGGCCTCTGAATGCGTTGCAATGCCGTGCCGAGAGGAGAGAGGAAGCGATTGCCGCCTCGGAGGGCCCAGTGGGGCCCGTTCTCATGAATCGCGATGTGCGCGATGTGACGAATAGCGGAAAGCAGACGATGCAGACGATGATGATGATGATGATGATGATGATGATGATGATGATGATGATGATGATGATGATACTGATACTGATACTGATACTGATACTGATACTGATACTGATACTGATAATGACGAGGATGCTGATGCTGAAACTGAAAGTGCGAAGTATGATGCAGACGACGATGATGACAATGATGATGATAATGTTGGCGGCCATGGCGATGATAATGATGATGATTGTGATGATAGTTATGATGCAGATGATGACGACGATGACGATGAGGATGCGCACATTGCGAGACAGGAGGGTCTCACAGCGTTCCCCTCTCCCCTCCTCCCCGCCCCGAACAATTCCTGCCCTAGGCCCCCCACGTATCAATGATCTTCTCCCCCCCGACTCGACTTCCTTCTCCTCCTCTGAATCGCCCTCCTCGCCCCCATAACCCACCCCCCCTGACAATGTATATATATATATATATAATCGTCATTATCCTTGTCCGTGCCCATCCTCCTCCCCCCTCCGCCCCCGCGACACGTATTCAAGGTGCGTCGCGATTGGGAACCGCGCAAAAACACTCTGGCGCGCGGGGCACGCAAAAAGCCAAGCGCACCAAACGCACCATATACACCAATTGCACGAAGTACGCCAGGTGCTGCGCCGGCCGCGCCAGGAGCGCCAAATGCGCCTGGCTCGCCACTTGCCACAAGAATGGCAGGCGCGCCACACGCGCACGTGCGCAAGGCACGGAACGGCCCAACGAAACACAAAGCAAAGGCCCCGCAAATAACGGGCCAAGTAATGACCATAACACTCTCGCGTCCACGAAAGTCACCACGAAGCATCCATCCAGACCCTACCAAGCCATCGTACGTCAACGCATCAACGCCCCATGTCAACCGCAAGGAGCGATCAACCACAACCGACCGTTGAGAACGACGGCTGGCAAAACGCTGCAACACTACATCACGACAACGCACATGCGTATCCAAACCACACGCACGTCACACCACGCGAACATCTCCTCTGAAGATCGCTACATCCACGAGCGAAACCAGCGCCAAACAACAACAAAAAACGCTTTCGGACACACCCCGCTCGGGACTTAGACCCGTTCCCCCACTACTAGGGACTCGAGCCGGCACTCGGAAGGACAAATGTGACGGACGGGAGAAGGAAAGAGGGAGGACGGGAGAAAACAAGAGGAGGGGGGAAGACGGGGCTGGGACGTGGAAGAAAAGGGCGAAGGAAGAAGATGGTGGCGAAAATGCCACCGCGGAGGTGTACGTGATCAGGTCCGGGTCCCGGAAGCAGAGCCTCATCTCCGCCACGACGTGAAGGGCAAACTCCCACTTCCTGCCCCTCTCGCAGGCGAGGATCACGGCGTTGAACGTATATTCGTTCGGCCAGTGTCCGCGCAGGCGCATTTGCAGAAGCAGGTACAACGCCCAGTCCTGGGAGGACGCTATGTATCCTCGATTTCGTCCTCCTCACCCTCCGCAGTTCGCTTCTCATTCTGAACCTCAGCCCCTGTCTCCCTGCTGATCGTCAGTATCACCACCACCAACACCATCACAACCATCACCCAGCCCACCATCATCATCATCATCATCATCAGCATCATCATCATCATAATCATCATCATCATCAGCATCATCAGCATCAACAGCATCATCATCATCATCATCATCATCATCATCATCATCATCATAACGAATGCCATCATGATCATCACCGTCATCATCACCGACGTATGTCGCAATGTAATCGCCATCGCCATCCGCATCGCCATCATCATGATTCATCACCAGCACCGTCGTGGTTACCAGCAGCACCACCACCACCCATCGCAACCGCAAGCATCCTCATGAACAGCATCATCAACCTCGTCAGCACCCCCATCATCCTCAGAACCATCAGAACCAGCATCCACCTCAACATCATCACCTCTACCACCACGATTGCCAGCATCGCCACTATCAGCACCGGCATCACTACCACCGTCCTATATTGTGTTCTACTGCCCCGAAGCCAAAAAAAACACCGAACGCACAGAAAGCACAATGATTACAACAACGAGCAAGAATATATGGAAGTCTGGATCCTGGAGAATCCCCGAAAGTCCGCGAAGGCCCCTTGAGGTTCCCGATAGTCCGATCGACAACGCGCGCACATCCACACAACACACACACACACACACACTCACGCACACATGGTTCCTCGCACGCAGCCAGGGGGCAGAAACCATACGGGCGCTCTAAATTTGACATGCAGTCGGCTACCGCGGGTCATCCGCCGAAAACAAACGCGATCAAACGCACATGCGCACACACCCACACGCACACGCATATCCTTGCAGGCCGCCCCAAGGAGATTGATACTGCGTCTTCAACCCCAAACCTCGACGACAACGACGAAGGCGACGAAGACGACGACGACGACGACGACGACGACGACGACGACGACGACGACGACGACGACGGCAGCGATCATGACGACAGCAACCAGATCACCCGACTTCGACCATCGCGCCCCGCGGCGCGCAATATCTTCGCGCCCTCGCGCGGGCCCCCTCGTGGAGACCGGCCGCTATCCCATCCCCTGCCGCGACGCGTGAAGCGCGATAAGCTTCGAGCCCCGACAACGACGACGCCGACGACGACCACGGCGGCCTGCCACCCGAGCTCCCGCCGCCTGCCCTGGGAGCGCTCTTGAGGCCCGAAGGAAGGCGAACGAGCAACGACCAAATGATCTCGATAAGCCTCTCCTCCCGGATGCTGCGGATCGGCCTGGCGACCACTGAGGACCCTCGTCGCCGCTTCCTCCTCTTTGTCCTGTCCTCCCCCTCTCTCCCCTCAGCATCCTCGTGTTCCCCTTCTCCTCCTCGTCCTCCTCCTCGTCCTCCTCCTCTTCCTCCTCTTCCTCCTCCTCCTCCTCGTCCTCCTCCTCTTCCTCCTCCTCCTCCTCCTCCTCCTCTTCCTCCTCCTCCTCCTCCTCCTCCTCTTCCTCCTCCTCCTCCTCCTCCTGCTCCTCCCCCTTCCCTCCCCTCCCCGTAGCCATTCTGATTCAAAGTTACCCCCCCGTCGCAGAGGTCAAGCTTGCCGCAGCCATGGGTTCGAGAGGCAAGCCGTTGCGGTCGGTACTAGCGCGCCCCGCGTGCGCCGCTGGGCGCCACAGTTCGGCGCCGTCCTGGCAACTAGTCAACACAGTCGCAGCACAATTCCGCTTCACCGCCGTGCGCGGGGCAGCATGCGGCACACAAGTTCAAGCGCAGCTTGGTCCCGCTGCAGGCGGTCACGTCTCAGAGCGTTCCAGCTCATCCGCCGCGTTGGCTCAGCAGCTTAGCATCGACATGCGCATGGGATGAGACAGCCTGGAGGGGCAGCAGTCTTCATTCTGGTGTGGGGCAGCAGCACGATTCACATTTCAATTGGTGTGTGCAGACACTCCTCCTTCTCCTTATTATTCTCCTCCGCCTCCACCTCCTAACCCTTATAATTATGTCATTCCCCGCTGTCTCTCTCTCTCTCTCTCTCTCGTTGTGCCTCTCTCCCTCTCTCGCCTTCCCTTTTTTGTTCTCTCTTTGTCTCTCTCTGTCTCTCTCTCCCTCTCCCTCTCTCTCTCTCTCTCTCCCCTGACTCCTCCGATTTGCTTCCACCATCCGAAGGCAGTGGACCTGGGGAGCAAACTATACCCGTACCGCCACGTTCGCTGGATCTCTCCCCAGATGCGTTCTGGCCAGAAACACAAACAAAGCGAAGGTCCGAAAATACATGAAGAAAACTGAAAGGTAGCGGAATCGGTATCTCCACTGCAGCCAAGCGAATCAGAACGCCAAGGGACGAGGAAGAGAGGGAGGAGGACCAGAGTAAACCCAAGACGCATCAAGGATGCTGTAATACACCAACCCGTTCCACGCCTCCTCCCCATCAGCCCCTTGAAGAAGTCATGCTTACTGCGGGAAGAATCCCCTTGCAGGACGAAAGCCCCGTGGTCTAACAATTCAGGCGAGAGCCCATGTGGACTATGCATTGCCGGCCATGATTCTAGCTAGAAGGACTGCGACGAGGTAGAATCCTAGAGTCCGCGTAAGTGTCTATAAAGAGAGCCAGAAAGAGCTGCTCCCAATCAGCGGGCATCTACCAAAATTCTTCTGGCAACACAACTCAAGGAGGTATCAAACAAGAGCGCCGATGTTAGAAGGAACGGCCCTCCAATCATGTAGCTGATGTACAACTGTCGACTTCTGAACGTGAGGATACAATGCCTCAAACGAAGATGATATGTTGAAAACGTCCCTCCCGTCCCACCCGTGTAACTGCTGGAAGCTTGCAAGACACATATGCGAGGCGCAGACGCGGACAAAAACGCGCGGTGGACCCGTTTCCCCGCCCCCGCCCATTCGCACAACTGCTGGAAACTGCTACAATAAAACGAAAGCGCGCCCCCCTCGATCCGTGTAACGGCTGGAAACTGAAGACACAGGGCGCGGCGCCAAGGAGGGAACCACAATTTGAACACCATGCGCCCGCCATCCGAATAATTACTCGAATAGTTGAACACGAACGTGCGCGGCGCTAAGGCGAGAGCCACATGTTGCAACGACCCCCCTCCATCCGAGCGAGCGTTGGAAAGCACAAGCTTCGGGAACATAGGCCAGGAGGCAATCTCAGGCAAACACCCAGCCCATCCTACCAACGAGTCTGATGGTCAGACGAGGAGGAGATATCATAAGGGGATGGGGAAGAGGGAGGAAGAAGGAGAGAGCGAGGAGGGAAGGAGGAAGGAGGAGCAGGGACAGGAGGAGGGAGCAATGAGAAGGAAGAGCCATCCCCAAACGACCCCTGTGACTTCTATGGAGGTGGGGAGGCACATGAACGATCCCAAAACCACCCCATCTGACTGAATCTTTTGAGCCCCCCCAGACCCCCGACGTTGCTACTGCTTCACAACGTGACCTGGAGGTCTAGACCACTCCCCCGGGACCGGCTTTGTATCCTGAGTCGTTCTTTGGAGGTCCCCGGGGGGCCGCGAAGGCCCCAAAGGCCGACATCGGCCAAAAGTCTTCTGTCGTGAGTTCCTCACAACGCGAGGAGGTCTGGGACCCGGGCTCCCACTGCATGCCCTTCGCGCACGCGCCGATGGTGCACGTGAAGGCGGCGACGGACGGGGCGGAGCCGAGCGCGGGCAGATCGTGAAGTAGACGCAGGGCGGCTTCCCAGCTGCCTGCGGCCTCGCAGCGCCGCCGCCGTCGCCGTCGTCGACGTCGTTGTCGCCGACGTCCCCAGATCTCCGACGATCTGTTTTCACCTCTTCTTTGGTTCGCCTTCTCCTCCTCATCATCATCGTCGTCCTCCTGCTTCTCCTCCACCTCGTCCTCCTCCTCCTCCTCCTCCTCCTGCTCCTCCTCCTCTTCTTCTTCTTCTTTTTCATTCAGCGCCTCGCTGGGTTTTTCGTGGGAAGGAGGTGAGCGAAGAGGAGGAAGAGGAAGATCTCAATCTCCAAGGATCAATCCAAGCGTTTTTCCGCAATGTCGGCCTTCGGGGACCCCTACCCCGCCCCTGGACCATCAACAACGGATCCGGGACGCGAAACTACGACTGGGAAGACTTCGGAAGCTCTGAGGCAGCGTGTTGGAAGTCCCATCGGAGGATGTCTGGGTCGTCGTCGCTGTCGCCCGCGTCGTGGTCGCCACCATCGTCGAAGAAGGCGAGAGCAAGGACGAGGTAGAGAGCGAAAACGAGGACGAGGTGTTAGGAGGTTGAGTAGGACGCAGAGGGATCTGTGAGGCGGCAGAGGAGGCTGCGGAGCAGGATGGTTCTTCCCCCGCCAGGCTCTGACCAGTTATTCCTCCTTCTGCCGTGCTGCCCTACGGCAAGAACAAAGCTTTGCGCCGTCGACGTCGTCGACCGTGGGCGGCCGGCCAGGGCTTGCCTCAGTGCGGTGCTGCCGAGGCCGCCCGCGCCCTCTTCGGGGGCGGCGCGTGGGCGCCGCACGCGGCGTCGCCAGGAACCCGGGTGGGTCGCGTGCCTCTGCCGCGGCAGCGCCGCTCCCCGCTGGCGGGCGCTGGCGGCACAGCCCTGCCCAGGATGGGCCAGCGTGCTGCCCTTCCTGGGAGGAGCAGGAGCTCGTAGGAGGAGCTGGGGGCCGGAGGGGGAGGAGGAGGAGGAGGAGGAGGAGGAGGAGGAGGAGGAGGAGGAGGAGGAGCAGAGCAGCATGGGCCCTGCCCAGCCATGCCCGCCTCGCGCAGCGGCGCTCCTGCTGGTGCCCGCGGAGCGGCCGAGGGGCAGCGAGGCGGGCCGGCGCGCAGCGCGGCGCGGGCGGCTCGAGGCGCGGCCCGCCGGATGAGGCTACTGTGGCTCAGCCCAGGGTCGGGGCTGCTGGTTTCGCCCCTCCCCTCTCCTCCCCCTCTTCTCGTGCGTTTTCGCCAAGGGGCTCGCGTGCGCTTGTGAAAAAGTGTCGTCGACGTCATCGTCGACGTAGATGTCAACGCCGACGTCGCGAGAGGCGTCGACGTCGCCGTGCTCGACGCATTCGCGGCCGAGGATCAAAACGATCCTGCCGTGGCTGATCATTTCAAGGGGCCTCTGGAGGGGCGTCCACGCAAGACAAACCTCGACAGCCACGACGACAAAACGACGACGACGACGACGACGACGACGACGACGTCGATGTCAGGTCGACGCGACGCCCCCGCGGGGGCCAGGGGACCACGGAGTTCGAAAACCGAGATCTTTGAGGCCTCCGCGGGAACAGGGACTTCCGGGGACCCTCGGAGGCCACCAGAAGAGGTCGCCATCGTCTCCGTCGCCGCCGCCGCCGCCATCGTCGCCGCCGCCGCCGTCGGCGGCGACGTCGTCGTCGGTGTCGCCGTCGTCGTCGCGTCATCGCCGCCGCCGCCGTCCACGCCACCGCCGCCGCCGCCGCCGCCGGCGGCGTCGTCGTCGTCGGTGTCGCCATCGTCGAGGGCGGCGCCAGCGGCGGCGGCGCCACGTGCCTCGCAGGCGCGGAGGGCGGCGATGCAGATCGCCTCACTGAGCGGCTCCACGCGCAGAGCGCGCACCTCCCCGAGCAGCTGCAGCGCGCTGCGCCAGAGGCCGCCCTTCGCGCAGGCGCTGACCACCGCGAGGTACGTCTGATGGGCCTGTGTTCTAGCACCACCGCCGTAAGTTGCAGGGGGGATGGAGATAAAGGAGGAGGAGGAGGAGGAGGAGGAGGAGGAGAAGGAGGACCCCCTCCCCCTCCAACTTATGGTGGTGGTGGCGGGAAACAGGCCCATCAACGTCGCCGCCTCCAGGTGGACCCGGCGCAGCCGCCCGTCCGCGATCAGGCGCAGGGCGGACCTCCACTGCTGGCCGACAGCGGCCGCGCACGTGGCGTCCGCGAGGGCCTCCTCTGGGATGCACCGGGCAGGCCGCTGCCTGGAGGCCGCCCAAATGAGCGACGAGAGAACGCGGGGCGAACTTTAAGAGGTGGCTAACGCGCACCGCCAGGGCGGCACGCCACACTGGAAACGAGGGAACTTACGCGCGACCTTACGCGGGATCCTTACGCGCGAGTGTCGGCACAATCGAATCTGTTGTCGTCCGTCGCTCAGATGGCACTCGAGCAGGTGGGACCGAGGCATCGGACTCTCGATGCCCCCGCACGTCGCTGGAGGCCAATGGGACCACAACAAGACGCGCCGAAACATGTCAGCCCTCGATCATGGAAGGCCCCGCTCTGCAAGGCAAAAGGCTGTTTTCCTCAATACTCGGGCAAAGTTAGTTCCCCCAATCAGCCGCCGGAATTTCCCCCCCTCCCTCCCCCCCCCGCGTCGGGGACCTTCTGACCCGGGTCAATCCAGACCCGGGTCAGCAGGAAACCAACAAACTGAAATGCAGGAAAAAAACTGCAACGCAGGTCTTCGCAAACCCGGGTCAGCCAATATGCGCGGCCGCCTCGCGGCCACGAGCGGCTCGCTAACCTGGGTCAGCCAGAGGGGGTTTTCGCAGGATCCTGCAGGATTTGGTGCGCTGGCTGACCCCCGTTTGCAGCGAACCCCGTCTCTTGAGCCCCGACCGCGTCCATGCAGGTAACGGAAAGAGCGAGGTACGAGTGATGACGTTCTGGTGTGGGCGAAGCCCCTTAGGGGGAGTGCAGAGGGGGGCGAGGCTTGCACAACTGCGGTCTAATGGCCGTTTTCGGCTTTTTCCCTCGGGTGTTCGTATGTTTTTGGGGTTCTCCCCTTTTCCGTCCCAGAAAGGCCCCAAACGACCTGGCCCGGCACAGAAACGGAAAGAGCGCTTCAGAAACAGAAACCGAAATTACTCACACCACCGTTCGTACTGGGAGCCTTGGCGTTGAGAGCTTGTTACGTCACCCCTCGCTCTTGGGAGCCTTGGTGTTCAGAGATTGTTGCGTTGCCGCCCGTTCCTGAGCCTTGGCTGGGCATTGGTGTCAGGAACTTGTTACGTCACCGCTCTCTGCTGGGAGCCTTGGTCTTATCAGCTTGTTTACGTCACCGTTCGCTCTTGGGAGCCTTGGTGTGAAGAGCTTTTTGCGTTACCGATCGCTCTCTATTTGGCGTCTCTAGGCCTTCTTGGGAGTCCTATTGGGGCCGTTGTCGGGCCCTTTTGGAGGTCTCTTGGGAACCTCTTGGGGGCCTCTTGGGGCTTCTTGGGGGGCTCTGGGGGCCTCCTGGGAGCTTCTTGGGGCGAAAGGCTAGACTTTTCGGTTCGTGGTCCCCCTCTCTTGCGGCCGTCTTGGGGCCCTCTTGGGCCGTCTTGGGCGCCTCTTGGGCCGTCTTGGCGCCCTCTTGGGCCGTTTCGGGGGCCTCTTGGGAGGCTCTTGGGCCGTCTTGGGGCGGTCTTGCGGGCCTCTTGGAGCGTCTTCAACGCAGTGAAAGCCGAAAAGCCGTGTATGCTAAAAATGTAACTTTTTCCAATAGGAAATCAATGATTTTCGCCTCCCGGTGGCCTCTTGGGACGCCCCTTGGGGGCCTCTTGGGGCTTCTTGGGGGGCTCTATGGGCCTCCTGGGAGCGTCTTGGGGCGAAAGGCTAGACTTGTCGGTTCGTGGTCCCCCTCTTGGGGCCGTCTTGGCGCCCTCTTTCGCCGTCTTGAGCGCCTCTTGCGCCGTCTTGGCGCCCTCTTGGGCCGTTTTCTGCGCCTCTTGGGAGCCTCTGGGGGCGTCTTGGGGCGTCTTGGGGCGGGCCAGGTAAACTTGCCGGGGTCTAACGGACGACGACCTCCAGGAGAGGCTCAACGGAGCGGGGACCCTCGGCCTCGGGAGGACCAACAAGCGGCACGAAAACGGAAACGCTCGGAGGCCCGGCCGATTGAGCACCGAGGACGCCGAGGGCGGCCACGGGGCCGCCGCCAGGGGTTCGGGGGGGGAGTGTCCTCGGAGCAGGGCGAGCTGAGACAACGGCGGCTCTCCCGCCAGGCCCAAATCCGCTCAACGTCGGTCCCCAACCCTCTCCAGGAGTGCATCCTGATCCTTTTTTGGCGTGGATGCAGCAGTGGCGAGGAGAAGCACCCTAGGAGGGCCAAAAAAGGACAAGCGAAAACGCAAAGGAAGGCCGCCGTCGTCTCGATTGGCCCTCCTCAGAGGTCGAGCGCTGGCCCAAGAAATCCGCGAGGACCTCCGGAAGCCTTGGCGGGTGCCGATGTGTCGCTTTGCTGGTATGTCAGGGCCGAGGAACGAGCCTCCGCGGTTGGAGCCTTAGCGACGGCGACGAGACAAGCGACGACGAGGACGGCGACGACGACGACGACGACGACGACGACGACGACGACGACGACGACGACAATGACAACGACGACGACGACCTCGACGAGGACGACGAGGACGACGACGACGACGACGACGACGACGACGACGGCGGCGGTGGCGGCGCGGTGGCGGCGGCGGCGGCCACGGCGAGGCGTGCATTATCCATAACCACCGCCTGGGGGGCATCGAGCTACGGTGGCCGCTGCAGGCGGTGGATATTGATACTTTGGAGTCCCGAAACGGGGCGGTGACAGACCGTGCAGTGACCTCGAAATCCCTCAAGACCTCACCGCACGGTCCGTCAACGCACGGTTTTGGGACCTCGGATGCCCCAATCGCCCGAGACATCCTTGGAGAAGGACCCGAGTCCCAAGACCGTGCGGTGACCCCGAATCCCCACCGACTCACCGCACCACCCCGTTAGGGGAACCCCGAGATACATTCGAGCCTGGGCGATGGTGGCCCAAAAATATCGTATCCACCGCGTGCCGAGGTCCCCGAAGATCGATCCGCAAGCCGACGGTTCTGGATACGTCCGACGACGGGAACGACGACGACGACGACGACGACGACGACGACGACGGCGACGACCGCGACGACGACGACGGCGGCGGCCACGGCGAGACGAGGATTATCCACAACCACCGCCTGGGGGGATCGAGCTTCGGGGACCGCTGCAGGCAGCTGATATTGGTACATTCGAGCCCCGGGGGTGTGGGGGGCCCAAAAAATCGTAGCCACCGCCCGCCGAGGTCCCCGAAGATCGATCCGCAAGGAGGTGGTCCGGGATACAGCCGACGACGACGACGACAATGTAACGCCTGAGGTGCTGCCAAGAGAGCAGCGCCCCCCGCCACTGCGTGCCGGCCGCGCAGGCCGCAATGGCGCTGCCGCTCAGGCGGTGGTCTGGCCTGCCGCCGCCCCGGGAGTTGCGCGCGAGGAGGGCGACGGACTCCTCGGTCGCGGGTGCACCGAAGATCCATCGTCAGCATCCTCTCTCGCCCCTCGCTCCCCCCTCGCGTCCTCTCTCGCCCCTCCTCCTCCTCCCCCCCCTCGCTCCTGCCCGTTTCTGGCAATCCCGGGGGGAGGCTGCGGAGGTCGGGCCTCTGGCCTCCAGGAACCTCCTGTGGGCGGGATCCAACGTAAAAGCAAAACCTACTGGAGTAGCCCCCTAAGGCAGGTTCGTCTTGTGACGACTTGTGCGCTGCTGTCTGGCACCGCCTGGATCATTCAACAGTGATTATCTTCCTCCTCCAGCTCCTCCTCCTCCTCCTCCTCCTCCTCATCCTCCTCCTCCTCCTCCTCCCCTCCTTCCTCCTCGTCCTCCTCATCCTCCTCCTCCTCCTCTTCTTCCTCCTCCTCCTCATCCTCTTCATCCTCCTCCACATCCTCATCCTCATCCTCCTCTTCTCTCCCCGCCTTTCCGCCTCAACCTCCTCATCCCCCTCTCACCCGGGGCCCCCCTCTTCTCAACTCTCACCCTCCTTCAACACCGACATCTGAGACTCATAGACTACGGCAACGGTGCCATTCAAGAATATCACGCCTACGTGAGAAACTTATGGAATTCCGGAAACCTCGAGGAATCTCCAACCACGTCAAGGGGCTCCTGACCCCCCAACCGCCTCCCCCTCGCTCTGTTCCGTCCTCCTCATCGTCCCCCTTCTCCCATTCGAGCTCGGCCCCTGACACTTCCCTGGAGCGAGCCCTGAACAGGACTTCGAAGGCAGCTCAACCGCGTCCGACTGCGAAGATCGGTGAAGACTGGCTCGGCCGACACTGGCCCCCAACCATGAACCTCCGCGCCAACATCGCCGCCGCGTCGATGCGGCACGAACATGCCGCATAGATCTTGACTGCATCAGGTCCCGTTCCCCACCTGGATGTCTGGAGGCAACTGGAAGCCTGAAAGGGCCAGTAAAGTCCAACAACCAATATAGTCCCGATCCTCCTCCCTTTCCTCCTCCTGGTCCTCCCTGCTGGTCGGTTCTCTCCACCTCCTCTTAAATCCCCGCCTCCCCAAATTTACTATGTTGGGTGATTGTGATAGTGTACGTATATGCATGGGACGACATTTGCCTCGAACACACAGTGGGCCATGGACGAGTTGTGAACAACAATGCATAGATCAGACATACCTACAAATAGGGCACAGGCGAACAATGTCAGAGGCCAGAAATTTAGCGTGGCAATAGAAACAGCACCAAGCTTAGCAACTCGAAAACCCAGAAGCACCTCTAAGGATCAGGGATTGGCTGACCTTGGTCGGCGCTAACCCGAGTCAAGACGTTTCGCGGCCCCGAAAGGAGCTCCACCGAAGGACCGAAGGCCCCAACGGCAGGGCCCGAACGGCGCACCCGCACCCGAGTCTGCGAACCCCTAACACAGTTCGTGGCCCCATAAAGTCCGTGGCCCTAGAGCGGGCTCCACCGAAGGCCCCAGCGACAGGGTCCGCATGGCGCACCCGCACCCGACTCGGTACACTTCTCACACGTTTCGTGGCCCCAAAGCGGGCTCCACCGAAGGCCCCAACGACAGGGTCCGCATGGCGGACTCGCACCCGATTCGGCACACCCCTCACACGCCTCGTGGCTCCATGGGAAGCTCCACCGACGGCCCCAGCAATAGGTTCCGCATGGCGTAGCCGCACACGATTCGGTACACCTCTCACACGCTTCGTGGCTCCGTAGGGAGCTCCGCCCGAGGCCCCAACGGCAGGGTCCGCATGGCGTGCCCGCGCCCGATTCGGCCACAGCAGCAGGTTCCGACGTCGGCGCACAGGGATCGCGCCCAACCAAAAAGACAAGACCCCAGAAGTCTCGGCCCTTCCCGAGGGCCGCTTTTTCATCCACTGTCGTTGCCTGACTGCCCCGGGGCCCCGCGGGGGCCCCGGGAGGCGGCCGAAAACCTTCCGCCTCGAGGCTTGCCTGCGGCGCGGGCTCGCCTGAGCTGCCTGCCGGCCGAGAGCCGTCGCCTCCGACGGCTTTGGCGCCCCGGCTCCTCCCACGCGCTGCCGCTCTGGCACGCCACCAGCGTCCGCAGGAGGCTGGTGGTGCCCGGCTCGACGCGGGCGCCGCGCATCAGGCCGAAGAGCTCCAGGGCCTGGCCCGGGCAAGGGGGGGGCCGGAGGGGGGGGAGGAGCGGACAGCATCCAGTCGATGAATCGGATCATCGCATCGAGTCTGCACGAGCTTCGGGTTTGGCCGTATCGGCACGAAGTCGGCATCGAGTCAAATCGGCTGCGGCAGGATGCACAGCACCACCATGAAATATCGCCGCAATATCGGAATCGGCTCCGATCGGGCGGGCGATATCAATATCGAATAGGACCAAATCCATCGGATCGAAATAGATCCTGCGGAGGCGGCTATGGGAAGAAGGTCGGAGGAGAAATGACCGATACCCCTACCGCTCACTTGTCGCCGCGGCTGAGTTCGCCCCGGATCCTGGTGAGAAAGAGCCCCTCGAAAGGTCGGGGGAGTGGCGGTATCGGTCCCTCCCTGTCCACCCAAGAGGGAGCAGGAGTGAGGGGCAGAGAGAAAGAGGGAGGGAAGAGTCAGGGGAGGGAGAGGACGAGGGAGAGGGGATTACGATGGGGAGCGATGAGAAGGGTGAGAGAGAATGAAGGTGGCAGGGGAGAGAGGGAGGAGAGAGGGAAGAGGAAAGGTAAGAGGAGGGAGGAAGAAACCAAGAGGGAGGGGGGGGAGAAAAGAGGGAAGGTCTCCGAGCTTGCTATCGGCTGAAAGGGTAGCTTGACCAAGTTTAACTAGGGAGGAGGGGACAGCCAGACAAGTACTGCAGACTCTGGCAGCTGCCAACAGTAAGCAAATGTTTGCCAGGGACGCCCCTCACAGGTGAGCGTACCGTCTCCGGAGGTCCACCCATGCAGGATCGAGCACGCTCCAGCCGTCGCCCGACGCCAGGCCGCACGCGCAAAGTCGAGGGTACGGCGGTATGGCCGAAGCCGAAGCCGAAGGCCGAAGCAGAGGTGCGCAGGTACGGGGAGGAACGGTGCCCGCGGACTCGCATCGCGTGCTGCGGCCATGCCCCGGAGGGGGGCCTCCCTGCTCCCCCAGGCGGTCACTCGGCGCGCAGGCTCGGAAGGTCACAGGGGGACCGCGGAAGTCGCCTGCGAGAGCGTGCACTCGAGGCGCGCGCGCGTGCCCCCGATGCTGCCGAGAAGAGCCAGCCTTGCCACTCTGATGCCAGGATACCTCTCGCTGATGAGAGGGCAAGATCCCAGCCACTGGACAGTGACGCCCGTCTCCCGCCCGACTGCTTTGTAGGGTAGTGCGAGATGACAGTACTCATCTAGTAGTGGCATTGGATTGTGCGAATATGGCGACACGCACTCGGGAGTATACCACGTGGGACGCTCATGACCCTTTCCTGCCATAGGACCATGAGTCCAAAAGAACAAATTGGTAAGAAAGTGCAACGAGAAAGGCGACCACGCGATTCCAAGTATTGGGCCAGGGCCACGACTGAGGGTGCAGACGGAGAGCCCGAACACATGAAGACAACACGCTCGTACGACAGCACACACACACACACACACACACGAGACACACACACACACAAGACACGCACACGCACACGCACACGCACACGCACACGCACACGCACATGCACGCGCACGCACACGCAAACGCTCGCACGACAGCACACACACACACACAAACACACACACACACACACACACACACAAACACACACACACACACACACACACACACACAACACACACACAAGACACGCGCACGCACACGCACGCGCACACGCACACGCACGCACACACGAATGGCGCGCATATCACAACCGAGGTGCTGCCGACGTGAATGCCCCGCGGACTCTCGCTGCCTCTGCCGCTTCCGCTCGGCCCGAGGGCGGCCCCCTGGCCCAGACCCCGCCCCGCAGTGTGGAGGCGCCTGTGCGCTCCCGTGGGGGGCCCAGTCTCAAAAACGGTGGGCTTCACCCGCGGCTCCGCGGCGCGCCCCGTGCGGAGGGGAGAGGGGGGGGGAGGCCTTCTCGGAAGGCGGCGGGGCGTTTCAGATCAGAAGCCCTCCAGCCATCTGAGGCGGCTCCGGAAGCTTCCAAGCAAGCTGGAGGCCTTCTGAGCCCTCTGAGATGGGTCGCCCCCTCTGCCCTCCCCCCTGGACGTGCGTCGTTCCCTCTCGCGGCCCCTGCCGCCCCTAAGACTCGCCACTTGCATCACGCGCAGCGCGCAGCACCGAGGAAGGTCAAAGCCCTGGCCCACCGCCATGTGCACCTGCCTCCGCGGCTCCCGTGAGTAGCTCTGTCTCCAAAGGGGCCTTCGTGGTGGAACGCCCCCGTCCGTGGAATAATGTTCACAGGGGATTGCGCTCTGTTTCTGGAGGGGAAAAGGCGGAGGAAGAAGAGGAAGCCGAAGTTCAATCAATGACCACCACTGGGAGCTGGCAAGCAATCCTGCCGCGGGATCGCTCTCGTCCTGACTTTCGCGCGCGTGGATGCCACAAGTATCCGAAACAAAAACAGGAAGTCGGCAAGCAAACCTGCCGATTCGCGATACCGACCATTACCGGCGACGCCCCGACCCCTCCCCCCGGTAACGCCACGATTCGCGCCGGCGCCGTCTGGGAAAGGCTAGGGGAAGGGCAACCAATTCCAAACAGTGCAGGCGCAGGTCGTGACGTTACCAGCCCCCGCTACCCCCCCCCTTCCCTTCCCCCCCAGTCGGAAAACGGACACATGAAGAACGAAGTGGAAAACGGGGACGAGGAGAGCAAACGGCGCGTTCCAGCCAGGGCCACCTCCTCCTCCTCCTCCTCCTCCTCCTCCTCCTCCTCCTCCTCCTCCTCCTCCTCCTCCTCCTCCTCCTCCTCCTCCTCCTCCTTCCCGCCGTGTAGTTTTCGGCGGCGCGCCGAGGGGGGAAGCGAGAGGGGGGAGGTTCTGGCTTCTGGGAAGACATTCGAGAGCTTCTCAGACGGCCGAAGGCCTACCGAGCCTTCGCAAAGGCCTCAGGGAGCTTCTCAGAAGGTCCTCTGAGCGTCCTGAGAAGGCCAGCCCCCTCAGAAGTCCCATGTCTTGCCGAGGCAAAACACGGCATGTGCATCCAGCTTCCCGGTCCTCGCCGTCGCTCGCCGTCCTCGTCCTCACCCTCGTCCTCGACCCTCGGCCACTGGTCCTCGGCCTGGAGGAGCACAGTCATGATGAGAACGCTGCACTACAGACCTCGCCTGGGGTGCGCCCTGAATGCGATGTCGAGGCGAATCCAACCGTGGCGACGAGGAACGGGC